TTTGGCAATTGTATAATTTAATCTTTCTTCTCTATTCTTTTACCGTTTGTATAGCTTTGACATGTATTATTAATTATATTTACTGTGTTTTATATATATATTTCATTTATCTTTATTTTATTTTATTTTATTATATTTTATTTTAGAACCTTCATATAATATACGTTAAGAATAAAAAGATAAGTCGTTATAATTTTGAAAATATTATTTTATAATTGCATTTCATTTTACCTCTTATTTTCTCTACATCATTCAATTATTATCAATTTATTAGCCTGGTAAAATTTGACGCATAAAATCGGAAATATAAAATTGGATCAATTGTAAAATGTTGAAATAAGTATGCATATTCATGAAAACGAAATATTTTTGATTTTTCGTCGTATGTCTAATATTGTATATTTATTAGTCTTTCTTTCAATTTATCTTAAAAAAATTTATATTAATACTTCTACTTATTTATCATCATTTTCTTTTTCGCTAATCATTTAATCAAATCAACTGACAAATTAGATCTAAAATGACTGCAAACCATTTTCTTTCTCATACAACTACTCATAAACAATTCAACGGAGGGCTTAACAGTTCACTACTATATAGTTATCTTAAAAATAATTTCTAATATTCCACTATTTTGAAACTTCTTTTTATCTACTGATAAATTTTAACATTAGAATAAAATTCAAATAACGATTATAATTAAAAAGCTAAATTTGCTCAAACTCACGAATAATAATAATTTTTGCTACAATTAGTCTAATTTTAATATATCATATAACATGACCTTTTAGACTCATTATATTCAACTATTTAATTATAAGCTTCACGTTCTTAGTTTATGCACAGCTACTAGCTTTGATAATTATGTTGTATTAGGTCATGAAATCGATATTTAAATTAAATTCACAGCTTCGTTTGTCGTTCGGTTCACATTACAAGTATATATGTTAGTATAATAAAAAGATGTAATATAAGAATATTCGATATAAAGTCTCTAATGTGACATAAGCTTTAAACCTTTTACCAATTATTAGCCAAAATCAAAATGTCTTGTTCTGACGAAAAAAAGTACACTATAATGCGTTTTCAAGCTTTAAATGAATTAAAACTTTCTCTGAACAAATCACTACAAATTTTCAATAAAAATGAAGATAATCACGTAGTTATGGCCAATGACCTCGTGAGATCTTTATTTGAGAAAGCAATTAATGATCTCAATGGCAACTACACAAATAATCATGGAGATACACAAGTTGAATGTGAAGATGACGATAAAAATATTAATAAAAGAAAATGGTTAAAGGAAGAATCAGAAGAAGAAAATGAATCAATACACACCAAGAAAGCTAGATTGGGTGACTATAGCAACCATTTATCGGATTCTCTCCCTTCTAAGGAAATTAAAACTTATTCATCTCCATCTAATAAAAAAATTTATAGAAATTGAGTATATAAAAAAAATTGTGGAAGACTCAAATAATTGTAGAATGCTAACTGATGGTAACTATAAAAATTATAAATTTATATTTTTTAATCTTTCACGTAATAAATTATATTTTTACTTAATTTATTTTTGAAGCAATAAAAAGCTTAAAACAAAATTTACCACCAATTCCCAAAATCAATAACACTTTGTTTGCAGAGATGGCAACATGCCGTCTCTTGCATAAAGTGGCTTGGGAAACTCTAGAGTTTTTAGGGGACAGAGTACTTACGTATTGTCTCTTTAAAATAACGGGACCAAAATATCTTAAAGACCACTATGCGGATACGATTGGATTAAGTATAAGACGTATTACTACAAATAAAATTTTGGCTGCATATTCTATCAAACTTGGTATACATGAATCTAACGGTATGACATGCTCAGAAATAAAGAAGCGTCATGCTGATGCACTTGAAGCATATTTCGGTGCATACTATCTGACAGATGGGGAAATAGCCACTTGTAGGTATCTTGATGATTTAATGACCCCATTATTAGATTTAATAATTGATGGTATTGCATCAGGAAATAAAGGAATAGATAATTCATATAAGATAGCTGCTGAATATTTTGCGATGCCATGGATTCGAAATTGCAAACGTTTGTAATTTTTCTAACTTTTACAGTACTGCATATATCTCTATGTTTGTTATTAATTTTGTAAGCTTTTGGTTATACTATTTAATAAAATACTATTTCTGATATTTATTTAGTAACTCTAGTGATATGTACGTACGTACATACATACATACGTACACACGTGCTTTTTGATCTGGAGCGCAGCGAAGGATCCTATAATTAATACGTAAAGTGAAACACAAGTTACGTTTACGATGCATTTCAACCAAAAATGGTTAACTTTTTGTTGCGTATAAACACTATGATCATATCAAAAACGTAATTTGGAAATTTTTTTGTCGGTAACGTCGCGTGTCGAAATTTGTATTTTAATGCAAGATTAAGCGTCGCACAAATGCATTGACCTTGTGAATTTGATAAGTTAAAGTCCGGCAAAAACTAACAACAAAATCGTGAAAAATTATCTTGAATTTACAATATCAAAATCTTAGTGCAATATGTATATTATAATCATGTAAATTTATAGCAAAATCTTGTTTCGGAGAGTAACGTAACATTTGTATGCCCTATAAAAACTAGAAACTTCTAGAAGACACC